GTCCTGTATTTGCAAGACTGTAATAAAAACCAGGCTGGGTGTGCCAGCACCTGAGTTCCTGTTTTAACCCTCAAAGTGAAGTGTCGTCTCATTATTGGGGGAAGGATTCATTGTATGCTGTTCCAGTTTGACTGCTAGGAGAGTAAACCTATTCGTATGGTTCCTATTCAACTGACTACAGCATTCATATGCTTGAGAGAAGGTATACGCTTCTCTGGTTCGGTGATTGTGGTGTCGGCTGCAGTGCTTGGAGTCCTCAGGAAGCGCTAGGAGCATCTTTCAACGGAGGTACCCAGTTGGGGTGCCAGGCGATCCGTTACACTAACTTTCAGTTTTGTTTTACACTCAGATACAATGTGTGTGTGACGAACCCCCTGGCAACGCGACCAGGTACCTCCGCCAATCGATGCTCCTAGTGCTCACAGAGGACTCCAAGCACTCCACCAGACACCATCAGCACCGTAGTCCCAACTTCCAGCGTTAAAGCTTGGCAGGGGGCCTCGCCTTCCTCCACCCACCCTGGAACCAAGACCAGGATCCAGCTTTTAGTGGGTGAACCTCTACTCTTCCAGATAGTATAGCTAGAACAGCTCTTAGCTAGTGATTATAATCGCAGAGAAGTATAGGGATTTAGCAATCCATATGGTGGATACATCCATTCCCCCCACACATGAGATGAGACTCTTTGTTGAAGGTAAGCAGAAACTGATTTTAATGGTGCCACACTTGGCCTTATATGACAATCTCCATGCAAGAGGTACACCCACATGAACCTTGTGGGGATCTGAGTTAGACCAATTAAAACAGGAACCTTGAAGAAATATCCCCCCAAGCACGAGACGAGGCTCTGTGTTGAGGGTCAAGCATGAACTGGTTTAATGAGTGCCCCAGGCTGGCATTTATGTAAGTCTCCTTGCAAGGTTTTTCCTGGGAATATTTTCCAGGGGCCTTCCCCACTGGACCTGAAGGGGCACCGCAGTATGCGCACAGACATAATTACATTACCCTTCAGGTTCAGGACATACAATCTTATAAAACCCCTCAAAATACATTTAACATTGGGGTACCCCGTCGAGTCCTATATCCCCGGGTAGTTGGGATCTGAGCGCCCAACATATGTCGAATGCACTCAGATCTCACGAAAGAAGAAACGCCACCGGGTTATCTCTTTCGGGGGTACCAATTTACATGAAACACAATATAACTGGTCTAGGAATAGTTTGTTTCTTTTCTTTAGTTGTGTGGTTAAAACTACCGAACAGCGCCGTGTTCGTGCGGTTGGAAGTCGACTTACTCGTGGGATGGAAGTCTCAGCGATTGCGTGCCCAACAACAGTTCCAGACGCTCGATGACAAAACACCGCTGGGTAGGTTCAACTTCCAAGATAGCCGCCACTTTGTGTTTGTACATACGAACGACAACCACCCAGCCGACCGTTCGGGAGATGGAAGTGGCTGCGGTTAACCACAATGTCAAAGAGATCAAAAAGATTAACAAGCAGCACACTTCCCTGCTGGGTGGCCAGCCATTCGGTAGTTAGTTTGTTTTAGTGAATGAAACCAGGGAAACAGATGAACAACCGGGAACTGACGAACAAACAGACAAAACAAGTTTTTTCAGTAATAATCCAGTGACAGGGAGATCTGTCACAATGAAAAACACACAAAATCACATATTTCCCACCTAGGAACCACCATAGTTTATACATCCCCGGATAGTCTGGATCTGAGCACCCAACACGATAAGTGCTCAGATCCCACGAACACAGCCGAAATGCAACTGGGGTAAAGTTCTGACAGGCCGCACACATGGTCCTATGCCCAAAACAGTTCTAGGATGTTTTGTGCTTTTACCAGTCAACTTCAGGAGTTCCATGCAGAGGAAATAATGAACGCACACTCTGGCTATTTAGTAGTGTTTGTTCATATGGTTCATACGAACAAACCTACCGAACGGTGCTCTCCTGACAAAAGTCAGCGATGTTCGGGAGTTTCCCTGTCCGATTTTAGTTCCATGCGATCGACGCCCAAATACCATTGACTGCATTCCCGCAAACAAGATGGCCGCCAACACGCTGAGGATGCTGAGGACCGTATGCCCCGGACACCATAAGCAGCGTAGACCAAACGAACTACCGCAGCTTAGTTGGGGTCTCGCCATCCCTTTCCGCCCTGGACCAAACTCCTGGAACTTAGTGGGAAGGCCTGTCCTCCAGAGAGTATAGCTGTGAAGCTCTTACAAGAGCTAGTGAGGCTGCTGTGAAGCAGGTTCCCTACAAGCACGAGACAAGGCTACGTGTTGAGTGTTTAATGGAGGCACACTGGCCTTTTATAGAAGTTTCCATGCGAGTTATACAGTGAGACACTCCCATACAGTATACACAATCCCTCCCCTCTACCTCGGAGATAATTAAGGCAGATAATGATAATAATAATTATCTCCAGGCAGAAAAACCCAATTTTTTTATAAAGTCCCATAAGTACCCCAAAACACAACATATCCCCAATGTTATAGCCCTGAACAATATATCCAAAAAATCCCCCAGATCAGATCAGGGGTTCAGAAATTTTATGGAAGTCATAGGTTTGCCCAGGCGCAGGCATGGTTCCATGCCCAAAACAGTTCCATAGAATCGCGGCTAACTGCCGCTGGAGGACCCACCAGGAACCGCGAGGTTTTAATGCCGAAAATAGTTCCAGGGCATTCACGGCTAAGTCCCCCTGAAGTCTATTTGCGTTTTTGGTCCATGTGAACAATATGGATGCCACCATGTGGTCGAATGGCACTTTAATTGGCTTCAGGAGTTCGGGAGTTCGAAGTGCCGCTTGGAAAGTTCAAATAATTATTGTCCAAAGTCATGATAAGTACAAATAGGGTTTTTTAACCATAATAAATTAAAGGGGCCTTAGTCACAGGGTAAACGGCTGGCAAGTAGTCCCCAAGTAGACCAGGACAGGACACGATGTCCATTGATACATTGAGAGTTATTCCCTACATGGATAGCCCAGGACAGGGCATGATATTCATTGATACATTGAGAGATATTCCCCAGATGGATAGATTAGGATACTGAGAGATATTCTCCATATGGATAGACCAGGACAGGGCACGATGTCCATTGATACATTGAGAGATATTCCCCACATGGATAGACTAGGGCAGGGCACGATATCCATTGATATATTGAGAGGTATTTACTACATGAATAGACACGATGTCCATTGATACATTGAGAGTTATTCCCTACATGGATAGACCAGGACAGGGCATGATGTAAATTGATACATTGAGAGATATTCCCCACATGGATAGAACAGGACATGGTGATGTTTATTAATACATTGAAATATATTCACTATATTGTGGTGGTACCCTCTATTTTCAGAGGGTCTGGAAAGTCTATACCATAGGGCATGTGCAAATGTAATAGATGTATTATCCCATCTAAAACTTGTGATGAAATATGTGATGAATATGAATGTATGTATACAGAAGGAATGATTGTCACAGGGTATTATGAAGAAATGTTCCTTTCTTATATGTTGACTGGAAAACTAAAGAAAACTGAAGTTAATTTGCAGCGAGCCGTAGAGTTAGGTTTTATAGGACAAGCTATCCTTGCCTCCAGCACTCTCTCTTGATAGATTGTCCACACAGAGCATTAAGTGCTCGACTCTGTCTGTGCTGTACTTGGAACTAGATCACCCACAGTCTACAGGATCAACTCGGCATCCAGAAAAATGCGTCTGGAGAAGATGATCATGGTGTGTTTTGTCTGAATAGTAAGTCATTCATGCAATTAAAGGACAGTGATAATATGAACACAATCTTAATGAAGAGATCACAGAATGTTTTTTAGAAAATAAAAAGTTCTTGTCGAGATAAGTGAAGTGTCATTGTCAATGTCAGCAGTGGTTGTTCGTGTCTCATGTGAAGTACCTGGACTTTATCTTAGAAGGTTTTACACTGGGAACCCTAAACAAACTGTCCCTTTAGCTTTATATCCACTTCAGACTGAGGTTTTACTCATAATGGAATGACCAGTGCAGCTCGCTCAGCAGAAGACCTGAGTTATTTGATGATGGGGGTGAAGGCGATTCTTGAAATTGAAGAGATGTTGCCTTTCTTTTGTGAGATATGTGTAAAATAAAATCTTGTTAGATGGAAGATGTCTAGAACCTATTATATTAACTCATTTATCCAGAATCTAATTGTTATTTAAAAAAATAATAATAGCATTATGCCACTAACATTGCCCAGGGAATCTTTCCTACAGTATTGAGGTTATTCCTACGGTATTGGGGTTAATCCTCAGGTCAACTAAGAGTAAGCATGTCAAGGATTGACCTCAATTCCTATGTACTGTTATAAAGACTCTACCTGACCTTATCATCAAGATTTATCAAATTCAGAAAATCTCAAAATTAGCTCCTTACCTAAATATTTTATTTTGGGGTGATTGTCTGACTGCTTAGTTTTTAGTAGGTAAAACAATAAATGTATGCCAGGCACTCAAGATCACTTATGCAGCAGTTTTATTGGAAAATTAGAAAAATCACACAGTGTTTCGATCTCTGAGGTCTTTTTCCAGCTGTTTTTAGTAGAGTGGTGTTTTATTCTTCTCTTGTTCTGATCCAGTTCCTGTTGCTCACTTCCATTCACACTTCTCCGAGACTTTCAATATGGAAGCTGTAAATGTCTCAGCTGTTGATTTATCAGAGTGTTGTTCAAACAGATTGGACTGCTGTTTAAACAATGTCATTTACTGTCACGTGACCATGAGATCTCTTTTGTCAGATCACTAGAACTCTTAAGTCCACATTAGAGATGACAGAACATAAAACCAACGAGTGTCTAAACAGAAGTTTAAAGTTTAATATTTCCACTGAATGAGCCACAGAGTGGTCTGAGTTCGGGAGGTATAAAAGGGGAAAATATGTCTTTATTTGGTAACTAAACAACCATGGTTATAACCGAAATGTAAAGTTTAATAAGTGACGGGGTGTTTTATGGTAGAATCTATCCATTTGTGATGGGGTGTTCTATGGCGGCCATTTGGAAGTTTCCTGGATCCATGGTGCGTACATTGAGTCATTATAGACTACATAACGAGCTAAATCCTTTCAAAGTCAATGTCTCATATATTGTTTAGTTAACTGAAACCCCAGAGCCTTTGTACATTTTCAGCAGGTATGCCATCTGCTCTGGGATAAGAATCCCTTAGATTCAGTTCTGTTTATATTTAATATGTTTAATATATGTTTTCTTTGAAGCACATTTTTTTCCTTTTCCTCATTTGTATTATATATTATTTATAAATGTGTAATTTATTTTTTCCATAATTTATTTTATATTATCTATTATTCATATTTTATTATTATTTTTTGGTCCACATTTCTGTTAGTCATCATGATCTGCCCCCCATAGTAAAATATTCTAATGGGTTTCCATGGCACACCATGGAGTTTAATGTCTGGAGTTCACCTTTGCCTCCATTGATACCGACCACCACTCATCATAGTTTTTTTTAATTATTAATTGGCATATCAACTCCACCAGATCACTATAAGGTATTGCTCAGTGTATGCAAACTTCCACTGCTAACATCGGAGCAATACTATATACATATTATGTGTGATGTCCCTAAATATAGAATAATGCATTTCTTAATGTCGCTTTGCTGTTGTTAACCAATGCTTTACTCCAGATAAGACAAGTGTAATTTTCAGTGAGTTAGCGACAGGTGGTCATTTTTCCTTCTAACATGAAAACCAGGTGTTACTTAGCACTTGGTAAACGCTCTCTATGGTAGATGTGACAATTTTAGGCAGCCTGTGATTACCAGTCGTTAAACATAATGTAGCATGCAAAGATCCTGTAATCACGAATAATAGCAGTCGTCATTTTAGTGATTATCAACTTATCGCTTCATGTCTGTTTCATCCTGGAAACAAAACCTGTGTTGGGCACTTAAGTTTAACCTTTAAAGAATCACTATTGGGTCAGGAACACAAACATGTATTCCCGGACCCTATAGTGCTAAACCTACCATTTAGGTGGCTTGCCCCCTTAGCTCCCCTATAAAAGTTTAAAACTCACCTTATTTCCAGCACTGCACGGTTACGCCGGCGCTGGCGCTGATATCATCAAAATGGACGATTTTTAATAGGGAAAGCTTTGGATTGGCTATAATCGGCACAGGGGCAGGGGCCAAATGCAGTTTTGGCCAATCAGGACTTCCTCATAGAGATGCATTGAATCAATGCATCTCTATGAGGAAAATTCAGTGTCTCCATGTAGAGCGTGGGGATGTTGAACAGCAGGGCTGCTTACTGTGCAGCACTGAGTCAGGAAGCACCTCCAGTGGCCATCTGAGGAGTTTGCACTGTCGAGTGTCCGATTTTAGTTCCATAAACTCGATGACCAAACGCTGCGTTCTGTGTTGGTGTCCCAAGATGGCTGCCGTCACGTGTTCGTACATACGAACGACGACCACCTAGGCGACCGCTTAAATGTTGAGGTGCTTGCGGTTACAGTGGTGTTAGCAGAGTTTAATGGGATCAACAAGCTACACAGTCCGCACATGGGTGGTCGGTCATTCAGTAGATTATTCAGTATTCGAACGGGACAAAGTTAACATATGCAGTGGAAGTATTTCACCGAACAAACAGGCAAAAGGAACAAAGAGCTGTAAAATCCAGGGACAGGGAAGTCTGTCACAGTGGCCAGCCACATTCCCACCCCCACTGGAGGTGTGACTAAGGCAGAGATTACACACTTCCTTCTAGTATACCTGCTGTTTAGGCTATGAAGGGATAGCACAAAGGAATTCCAGACACTATAGCCACTTTTGTTTAGATAGTTACAGTGCCTACAGTATCCCTTTAAGACCTAGATGACAACTTCATTATGTCAGTAAGTGACAATATGTGACACAATGTAAAAACATCCTAGTCTTCCTCTCAGCACTGCACTATGCCCAATATCCTGTAGATGCCATGTTTCTTCCCAGATACCCAGAAATCTTCACACAGGACTGGCAAAATAGCGATTGTTGGGAATTCAAAATAAATTTTCAAAGTCATGTAACTTGGCTACTTAATGTAAATATTGAAACTCACACTGTACTCCTAAGATTTCATACTTTTTACACTAGTAAATGTTTCTATGCTACAAGAAAAAACTCCCTCCCATTATTAAGCAATGACGCACTTTATTTTTAACATGTGCAAGATAAAAGGAAAGTAAAATCCTTTTTCTGTCAGGTATAAACCCATATATTTCTTAGAATGTCTAATTGGTATGAGAAATTGGCCATTTTTGTTTAATTTACGGTCACAACTGTAGGTTATTGTTTATTTGTTATTGTTTAACATAACTAATTAATTTTATTTGACGTGTGAATGAAAGCTCACACATGTGTTCCCGCTATTCACACTGTGGCGGAACCACCACCTGGTCGGGTGTTTTTGTACTTGCACTGTGTGTAGAACGTTCGCACTCGCAACACAGGTGCGAAACCGCAAGGGAAGCAATTAATGAGTGCTCCCCTTGGTAGCCGCAATGTTGTATACACAAATGTCAGCCAGGGAGAGCGTGGATTGCTTCCCGACTCATTAGTCTCCCAAATGAGGACCTCCTCGGTGCCCAATTAGAACGCTCCAACCAATTAATCAGAACGTTCGCACCTGCAACATAAGTGTGAAACCGCAACTTCACACTGGCAACAAAAGTGTGAAACTGCAAAGGAAGTAATTAATGAGCGCTTCCCTGGGTGGCCACCATTTTGTATAGGTGAACGCTGTAACGCCACCCCCAGGCAGTTCAATTGCCATGGAGCCAAAGTCTTTCCCATAGTCTTTCATTATACGAATGGGCTCCATGGCATAGCTATCTGGGGTATCACCGCTCAAACAGGACCAGCACCGAATGACCCGGCTTTCGTGTCTTTGCAGGGAAAATCAAGCGTTTCAACATGGGGCCATAGTCTAAAGGCAGCAGGCAGGCAATCAGGCTCCTCCAATGTGCAGTGGCGAGATTGGTCTCGTCACAAACGCCAACCAGAGGGAGCATTCATACCCCGAAAGGAGACTCTTTCATTGCAGGTTTCGGCACAAAAACCTCGCAAACGGAGGTTAGTCGTGGAATGTGCCATTGTGGAGTCGCCTGAGGTTGGTGTGGACACTTTTGGGGCACTGACCAGTTTGGCGGGCTTTCTGTGCCTGGGAGACAAAGAGACAATCTCTTTTCACACGCTTTGGCTTACAGGCCCAGAGGCTCCTGGGATGAAGACCTCCCTGTCGCCCTGTGTGGGAGACCCCTCACCTCAGTGGCGGGCTTTCCATATTTGGGAGACAAAGGGACATCGACCCTCATCCTTGCACTGGGGCTACCTGGTATAGAGGATACTGGGTACCTTCCATTGATGGATGCTCCTAGTGCTTCCCGAGGGCTCCAAGCACTCCGCTAGACACCATAACCACCGCAGACCCCCATGAACCGCCGCAGCTTGGTTGGGGATCTCGCTGCCTTTTACCCACTCTGGACCCAAGGCCAGGATCCAGCTTCCAGTAGGTAGACCTCTCTTAAATCCAGAGAGCAGGAACAGCTCTTACAAGAGCTTAGTGATTATACTCTGGGGAGTATAGTGATTATAGCAATCCCCAGAGTGTAGGTAGTTATCCAATCCCCCAAACATGAGCCAAGACTTCATGATACAAGATGAAGGGCAGAACAAGTCTAAAGGCTTTATTGATACAGGTTTGCTAATATACAATTCCTCAGGCCAGATGCACACCCCCTGGACCTGATCGAACACCGCATTCCCAACTGTACAGACCAATAAGAACAACCATACAGTCTGTGACACTCCCATGTACAGCAAACAATCCCTCCCCTCTGCCTGGGATATAATTAAAGTAGCTAATAGAATAATCTAATTATCCCCAGGCAGAAAAACACACATTTTCCCCAAAGTACAGAAAACACCCCAAAACATAACATATACCCATAAATATTACATCCCCCAAATGAGTAAACAACATATCCAAAAATCACCCAGATCAGAGCGGGGGTTCAGGAAATTCCTGGAAGTTTCTTTTTGACCGACCGCACGCATGGCTTCATGACCAAAACAGTTCCAGAGAATAAGGATGTGCGGCTGGTCTATTTTCAATGTTAAAAGTGCACTATAGTACAAGGAAGGGTGGGGTCAGACAATAGCAAGGGCTGATGGGAGATTGAGGAGGGACAAAGCAGCCAGTTTAAACTGGTCTGGCAGTGTCCCTGGGACAACGCCCTGCTGGGGAAACAATAGGACAGGAAAAAGGGGGAGGGGCAGAGGCACATTTTCCCATGGAAGTCACTTTTTAACAAGTCTTTTTGCATAGTCTTTGGGCAAAAGGCTGGCGATTAGTCCTCTCCAAAAACCAGTGGTGAAATTGCTTTCAACAAACATCTTCCCTTTCCAGGGGAGACTAACCAGGTACCTGACCTTCTGTCAGTCAGTAGCCCACCCACCACAAGTGTAGAGTATCCCTGGATCTCTTAACAGAGCTAGTGATCAGCATTTCCCTACAATATGAGTTGAGGCTGCGAGTTGAGGGTAAGAAGTCTGGTTTATTGAATGGAAAGGCATTGCTTATATACACATTTTCAGGCCAGAGGCACACCCCTCTGGACCTAATGGACCTACACACCAGGGTCGCAGGGGTCACGGCTGCGACCGGGCCCGGCCCACCAAGGGGCCCGCCGCCCCTGCGACCCACCTCAGGGCCCCCCCGAGGCTGGCTCTGCTGACCCCAGCGGGCGGGCTGTCTGTCTGGGTGGCCGGCACGCGAGGGAGCACTCTCCCCTAAGTGCTTCCTCTTCAGCTCCCTCGCGCACCGCACTGATACCGGAGCCGGAAGATGACGTCATCTTCCGGCGCCGGCATCCCTATGCGGCGCGCGAGGGAGCTGAAGAGGAACATCAGCCACGGAGAGTGCTCCCAGAATGAGACATACTATGGTCATTAATAATATGCCCAGAATGAGACATACTATGGTTTCATTAATAATATGCCCAGAATGAGACATACTATGGTTTCATTAATAATATGCCCAGAATGAGACATACTATGGTTTCATTAATAATATGCCCAGAATGAGACATACTATGGTTTCATTAATAATATGCCCAGAATGAGACATACTATGGTTTCATTAATAATATGCCCAGAATGAGACATACTATGGTTTCATTAATAATATGCCCAGAATGAGACATACTATGGTTTCATTAATAATATGCCCAGAATGAGACATACTATGGTTTCATTAAT